GTGGTTAGAGATGTTCGTTGGTAATAACGTTGTAGGTAGGAATCGTGTATATCCTTATTACTATACCACATGAAATAGAGAATTAAAACAGACATGCTTATCATATCTTTTTTGTTGTTGTTGCTTTGTTTTTGTTGAAAATGGGGCATACATAAGGATACACAATTAAACATTTACTCTCAAATCAATAGGTAAAACGTTTAACTTCTGCAAATCCTTATTTACGTTTCAGCTCAGAGTAAAAATAAAAGACCAAACATCGGCATATGACTGGTAGTTTATTTCATATGCCTAAGCAAATTAACTTAGGCAATATGTGTAATTCGTACACTTTCTTATAAAGGAAAAGAAGACTATCCATTTCATTACAACAATTCTATGTTTTTTGTTACATTAAAAATATTTTAACTACATACACTATAAACACACTTTGTAACATTGGCTTTCAAATCAACCTCATCACAAAACTTATATTTGTATTAACCATGCACATGATCTTGCTCCTATTTAAAGTACCGATATCACAACGTCAGCAAGGACTTTTCCTACATTGTTCTGCTACAAATATTTCATTGCACAAAAAATCTACTGCTTGCATCCACGCATACTTCAATTTTCTGTTACATTTGGTGAATATTCCAGAAACGTATTTTGGATTCGAGTTTGTCATATAAAATAATGGAACAACTTTTCATATCAAATTTCTTCTCCCAAATATAAATTCCGGTTTATTGGGAACGTATGAAATTTATAACAAATTCAGAAGATTAAACTTAAAACTGTGAAACATGTTAATAGACTCTTCAGAAGTGTAATTTGAAAGTTTATAGTTATCTACTTCTACAAAAACATGCAATTTACTAACAACCTCCAATAATCAAACCTTAATTTCAAAATCTTGTATTACACAAAAATGGTATACTATTATACAAAAAACAAAGAACTAATTATTCTTTAGGTTTTTCGCTTATTTATAAGATAGAATAAAACATGTACACATCTTACTTTCATCCTTAACTGCAATTGTTTTTCTTTCATTTCCACTGCAGATCTCAAATCAGAGGTTAACTTTAAAGCTTCATTGCTTCGCCAGTTTAGGCGTTTTAAATCTACATTGTTGCAAAATCAATAGTCATTTCTGTTGAAGCATATTTTGGCATTTTATCTTAATAATACGATCTGATTAACTTTATATCATATAAATATTTCATTTTTTCAAGAGTTATAGGATTTCTGAGTAACGAGGTAGCTTTTTGACTTAATAGCTGTTAAGAAGATATTTCTTCAATTTTTTTTACGTTATAAAGTACGGTGTAAGTCTTCTCTTTAAGTAACACAAGCCTGTGAATTTAAACTTAAAGGTGTTTTGGCTTTAACAACGGATTTTCCATAATTAAGCTACGCAGATTTTGAAAAAAAAAAAATTTTTTTCTATCAGGTTAGGATATGTTTACAAATCTGGAAGAAAAACAACTCTTACTTAGCTCAAATTATTATTTCGTTTACCACAATGAACTTTTTAAATTATTATGTTTGTTCACAAAAATACAAACTGGGGAAAAGGGAAGAACATTGATGTCATACGAATATGCACCCCTCATTCATCCTGATTTTTCCGTGTGAAATCTACGTCTTTTAATCTCAAAACTACGTGTTGTGGTCATTTTTTATATATTGCGCTTTGTCGTTTTGTGAAAAATACGTACGTGATAGAGAAAAATGGATTTCATTTTCGGATTCAGCGTACATGAATTACTGAAGAACTTGTAAAAATATCAAGACAATGAAACCACCGCAGGCCTGTGTAATCGCCCTATTTATGTTTTTGTTGCATTATTTTAAAAAAAGTTGCACGTATCTGAATCTACACATTCTGATATTTAATTTAAAAGACTTCTTACATAGACTGTCAAGAAACATATTAAAGACCAACACACATTAACTTTACCTGAGATCCTGAAGTTTATAAATCAAAGATTAATAAAACAATATTTCACACTGCTTTAATTGGCCTTCTTTAACTGTCATTTCACCGGGGAAACAATTTGATCAAGGTATGATAAAAATAAAGCATTTTTTTTTTACTGCCAAAGTAATGTTAAAACGAATTTACTAAACAAGATTCAATACTGTGGTCGACGTTATAAAATGGCAAATTCTAACTCAAAAAAGGCAGACAGACATTTTTACAAAACTGGGAGGTAGACTTGGTCAGCTTCATGTGTTGAGGAAACCAATCCCACCACACAGGGCGATTTGACAGATGAACTTCAATATGTACCCATAACTGTGAAGACAAAAACAAAAACATTGTTAAGGAAAGGTATATTTGCATCAAACTTATATCTCAACGATGTAAACATTTTACAATTTAAACAACTGAAGAAAACAAAGACAATTTTACGTTTCACAAATATTTGAATTATTACTGCCATGGTTTCGCCCATAAAGGAATCATTAGTTGAAACATTATCCTCGTTTTCTTCAATTCTGTAATTATGGAGTTCGATCAAGTTTCAAGTCCTAATTATATGTTTTACAATTTGATATCATTTTCTCTTTAATAGTCAGATTCCTTATTGCTCTTATTCTCCTATTACATACTACTACGTACGTGGAACGTTCTTTGGTCACAAGTTTACTTGTGATGGAATTGTTGTAGATATTGTCGTACATAATAACCCTTTGTTTTGTTTTTATTTATGTACACACATTCGAAGAAGGGCTGGTAGTAGCCTGAAAAGTTAGGATTAGTAAAGTTTTTATTTCTTTATCGTTACCATGTTGTCGTTGAAACGTAATTCTTAGTCCTTTATATATATATATATATATATAATTTCTTTGCTTTGAAGTGGTTAGTTACTCTCTCATACTAATTCTGTCCTGTAACTATTGTTATGAAAATATCTTCATTTTGGCATAAGCTAGGCCTAACTTATTACTTCTAACGTTAATACTTATATAGAAGCTTTCACGGAGTCTTACAAAGTCACTATTTTTCCTATTTGGTTATGGACTGAATAAAAGTGTCGAAATCATAATATTCGGCACCGTTATTTCTACATCGTTACTTATAGGTAAATATCTACATATGGGAAGGTCAGATATACTTCGGACTTCTTCCTCGTTCCTCCACTTGCATTTCTTCTCTTACACGCTGGCTTTTAGGTAATTGTACCATTAGAAGGTTGTTTTTGCATATCTGTGGCAAACATGTATTCTGGTAAAGTCTGTAAGATATTACATTTCCCCACCCTTTTCAGCCATGTCCATGTACTGGGTACAATTATCACGTCGATTTACACTAAGTTTCGCACATGTTATGTTGCACATAGAGTTCTGTACACACAAAACAGTCCCACTTGTGCGCCTCGACTTACACAGGTAATGTTATTTTCACACACAAATATCCTTAAAAAAAAAAAACTGAATATGTATCTAAAAGTCAGTTAGCCCAGCATTAAGTAGCCTTATTTATATATCTGTTTACTATGTCTAAATGGAAGAGGTGTATGATGTAGATGTCGAGGTTACTTAGAAGTTCATTTTGGTCTAAATTCTCTTTGAAATATGTAGTTGAGCTAGTTAGGAGTCTTTCTGACAACAACGGGGTATTTGAGTATTTATGTAAAAAAGTAATGTTTGTTGTACGTAGAACTCTGTATACTTTTGTCAGAATGTAATTTCGTAATTCTAGGGCCTGTGTTGTAGAGACATTTAGCCATGCTGGAGGATGGGGCATTTTCGATGACAGGACGTATATATGTTTTGTATACCTTAAGAATCTTATCTGTCGATATACCGTAATTATTCCCAGTTATAACCCTAATTTGATTAGCTTTTCCTGACGATTTTGTCCTAATGCTCTTAATAATATAATAATATGTTCATACCAAGTTACTTTGGAGTCGTAGATTAATACTTTGATTTTTAAAGCATTTATTTTAATTTTCCATTTATTACAGAAATCTTCTATTTCGCTTAGCAGTTTAAGGTTATATGCTGTTACGGAGTTTGTGGAGCTCTTCCAAATGTCGACATCATCTGCGAACTGTGAACAGTAGCTTGAATAATTTGGATCTATAAGGAGATGTTGCTGACATACATGACATGAAAGTGTAGGGTTAACTATCCCTCCTTGAGAGACGCTTTCTTCAGGAGGGAAATATTCTGAGAGGGTGCCTTCCACATTTACTCTTATCTTCCTATTACTTAGAAAGTTGGATAATCAGTGATTAATTCAGATCGATTAATATCAGATGGGTATTAGTGCATCTGAATATTGCAGTGCATCTTTTTTTTTTATTATTCTGATTATTTTATCTACATTTTGATCATTTATATTTATTTTTTTCTTACACTGTTTAGTGATTGGTCATTTTTTCACCAATGTACCCTTTTTCGCCACTGTAACACTGCATCACTAAATGTTTGTTTTATTAGCTCTCCTTGTAAAAATGCCTCCCCCGGTGGCTCAGCGGTACGTCTTAGGACTTATATCACTATGAATCGTGTTTCGATATCAACGATAAGCAGAACACACAAAGCCATTGTGTAGTTATGTGCTTAACAAAAACAAACCTTATATGCATAAAAATAAAATTACGACTGTTACTATTTCCAAAATAACTTATATCAAAAAATATTTCGTTTGAATTATACGTTTTCCACCAAGTAAAAAAACGTTGTGGCTTCGTTAATGAAACATTGTCTAAGTTTATTTGCTCTTTTCTATTCAATTAAGGAATATTGTAGCATGTTAAAAATGTTAAACTTTTGCAGTTTCATTTCCTGGTTCGTATGTAATGAAACTGTTTGTATTTGGATAATTCATTCTCTTTATTTTTGACTAATAAGGATTTATATTTTGACTTGGGTTCATAATTTGTCACTATACTATTAAATGAAGAGTTTTCTTATTTGCTGAATTTTTCTTTTAACACAATGAAAACTATATATTTCATTAAATCCTTGACTCTTCTGAAGGAGGAATTTAACGATAAAAATTGCATTTGGGATGTACCTTTTTTTAAACAAGCAGTATTTGTAGGTCAACCGATGAATGAAGCAGTGTTTGCTAATCAATGTGTTAATCTTTCACTAACCAAAGATTCTAAAAAAACAAACTATGTTTACTGATAACAGCATCAATTCCATTTTGATACCAGCAAATTTTTATTTTAATTATCGTCAGTAGCGAGTTTTCATTAATTCTTAGAATACAAAACAACGCCATCTTGCTCATTGGTTTTTATTGTCTATTGCTATAACTTTCTATTTTGCTTGTAGAGTAGTGATAGACCCTTAAAGATAGTCAAATGTGGAATAATATATGATTTTCTACGTACTACGTCATTGGTTTTGGTTTTAACTTACCATTCAAAATATAGCATTTTAGCACATTAATTATTTTATTGTTATGCAATGAGATAAGTGAAATCATGAGATAATTAAGAACTCCGTTTTCAAACACTTTCCTTAGTTTTTAAAATTGATTGTTTATTTGAAGTTAAGCACAAAGCTACACAATGGGCTATCTGTGCTCTGCCCACCACGGGTATCGAAACCCGGTTTCTAGCGTTGTATGTCCGCAGACATACCGCTGTGTCACTGGGGGCTGTTTTTAAAATATTATTGCAACTTGTTTGTTTTTGAACTCGGTGTTCATTTAGAATTTCTAAATTTATAATTAAGCCAAGTTGCGAGAAATGTACACCAAATAATACGCAACTACGTGTTTTTTTTATACATAGTGCTCACATTCTTAAATCATTTCTTTTATAAAATATTAGAACTGAAAAGATTGAAATAAATAAAAAAGGAGGTTTATATAAAACATGCGTATTTTTGTTTTAAAATGTAGATTTACCATTTGTGGTTAGAGATGTTCGTTGGTAATAACGTTGTATGTAGGAATCGTGTATATCCTTATTACTATACCAGATGAAAGAGAGAATTAAAACATCCATGCTTATCATATCTTTTTTGTTGCTGTTGTTTTGTTTTTGTTGAAAATGGGGCATACATAAGAATACACAATTAAACATTTACTCACAAATCAATAGGTAAAATGTTTAACTCTGCAAATCCTTATTTACGTTTCAGCTCATTGTAAAAATAAAAGACCAAACATCGGCATATGACTGGTAGTTTATTTCATATGCCTAAGCAAATTAACTTAGGCAGTATGTGTAATTCGTACACTTCCTTATAAAGGAAAAGAAGACTATCCATTTCATTACAATAATTCTATGTTTTTTGTTACATTAAAAATATGTTAACTACATACACTATAAACACACTTTGTAACATTGTCTTTCAAATCAACCTCATCACATACATTGTTGCTGACATACATGACATGAAAGTGTATGGTTAACTACCTCTCCTTGAGAGACGCTTTCTTCAGGAGTGAAATATTCTGAGAGGGTGCCTTCCACATTTACTCTTATCTTCCTATTACTTAGAAAGTTGGATAATGTTCCTCGCAGAAGACCCATTTTGAACATTTGGTTTCTGAGGCCGTTGTGCCAGCCACAGTCGAATGTTTTCTTAGCATAAAAAAAAAGGACAGTGAAATTATTTTTTGTTGTTGTTGAAGTTGTCTATTATTGCTCCAGTAAGGCAAATTAGGTCATCGGTTGTCCAGATTTCTGGAAGCCGTTTTGAGTTCCTGATAATTTTGATGTAGGTTTCACATATGCCAGAAGTCTTTTACTGATACTTTTCCTAAGCAGGTGGTTTGGCTGAGGGGTCTGTGATTTTCTGGATTATTCGCGGATTTTGCTTCAAAGCGGTTGGTATATATCCTGACAAGCTAAACAAAGCTATGATGTGTTCGTAGAATTTCTGAGGGCCCTTTTTCAGTAATGTGCTTTGTATTCTATCTTCTCCTGGTGCTTTGTTATTCAGTGTTTTATTGTTGTCTGTATTTCTGGTAAGGTGACAGATTGTACTAATGATCTTGAAGCCATGTCATATTCGGCTCCTTTATTATTTTCTGTAGTTATATATAAGCGTTTATTGTGTTCGATGTAGTTATTTTGGAAGTTATTGTCCATTTCATGGTCATCAGGTGTCTTAAATGTTTTCTTCAGTTGTTCTTTGAAAATGAGTTCCTTCTGTGTATTTGTGTAAACTTTAATATTTTTGTTTTCTTATCTTGAGTGTAGTTTTTGAGATGAATCCAATAGTCTAGTGGATCCGTTTCATTATTTTGTTGTGGACAGTAGATATCTCAGTTTTCAGATTTTAGTTTTTTCACTTCGTTTCTTATTTGTTTTCTTA